TCGTATTAGATTTCACTAACATTTGATTTGTAGTATCAGTGTGAGCCTAAATAATCAAATGATAAAACTAACTGTTAACATTATACGATATATAAACATAAAGTCGCTGTTAGAACGCACGTGTGCGCAATATCCTTGGAAAAGTTTTTACCTTCGTGATGAGCAAAATACAATGCAAAAAAAAAAAATTTTATCTTGAGATTCTAGGTCAAGGTCAATTTTGCAACGGGTTCTTTACATGTAATTTCCATCAAATCGAACGTGTAGAATTCACCTATGATAGTCGCGGACAAAGTTTTCTTTTCACCCTGTATACAAGAGATTGTACGGCGCAAGAAGCAAAGAGACCGGAACTGAGGTTTTACAAAGGTTTCGTGCTGTCTACGTTCGCTCGTGATTCGACGTTTTGACTGTTTCTTTTAACTCGCTTCGATCTACGTGGAATGGAATCCACACGACACCGGTGAAATCCCGAGCAGCGAAACCCGTCAGTTTCGTCACGAATCGAGCATGACTCGCCAGCGAGATGGAGGAGAGGCGCGATTAGTCGCAGCTGTCGTCGATTCATCATGTCTTTTTGTTCGTTTCATCCTTTGCGTGAAGCGCAGTTGCACACAGTCATCGTAGAGTTTTGAAAGAATTATTTCTCGTTCGTGACTGTAAAATCAGAATGTACAGCTAACTTTTAATTTCATACCTAATTGTAGAGTACCGTGTTCAAGAATTCTAGAACAGTTCATATTTGTTCATATAATAATAAAATCAAGATAGTAATTTTTAAAAAGTTTTAATAATTCACCATGGTACCGTTATTTGTCTTTTTATTCGTTTCACCCTTTGCCTAAAGTATAGTTGCACATGAAAAAAAAGTCATTCTGTAAAATCAGAACACACATCCCCGTTAATTTCATTCGCTAATTCTAGAAAAGTTGATATTTGTTATTATAATAAACTCAAGATAAAATTCTGAAAAGTTTTAATAATTCATCATGGTATCGTTATTATTATCTTCTTATTCATTTGATCCTTTGTGTGAAGTACAATTGCACTTAGCCATCGTAGAGTTTCGAAAGAATTATTTCTCGTTCGTGAAAGAAGGTCACTCTGTAAAATCAGAATGTGCAGCTAACTTTTAATTTCATACTTAACTGTAAGTACCCGTGTTCAAGAATTCTAGAACAGTTGATGTTTGTCATTAAAATAAATTCAAGCCAGTAATTCTTGAAATAACTTTTAATAACCCTCAATTTTCGTAAGACGAATCATCCCCAGCATTTAGCAAGTGGAAGGAGCTGCATCTGTGAGATACGTCAAACTGTATTAATCTTTCTGGCCGATCCGGAGCATGCAATTGAATCGAATCGAACGTATCGATCGTGGCGGGCTTCCATTAAACGTAGACCAATCGTCTCGAGGACGCGAACTTTGTTCCGCGGGCTTGTTTAGTCGGCAGTCTTGAAAATCGGTAGTTTTCTCGCTATCACAAATTCCCCCTGCGATTATAAACACACGCGCGGGAAACTCAACGATGGCTCGTCGTTCACGAATGAATGAATTTCAACGAGAGCTGCTCGTTGTTAGCCAATGATAAACAACCGAGTCGAGGTTGCCGGTTGATGAACACTCAGAAGTTTTGAATGGAGAAGAAAAAAAAAAAAAAAAAAGAAAAGTGAAAAAAAAGCGTTTTTAGACGCGAAAGACGTCTCTCGTCTTTTGAGAGCAGCTCTTCTTTAACCGCGACCCGACATTTTTTTCCTTTTGCCGCGCAATCTCACGTGTTGTCCCTCAAGTTGACCCAGATGCGACGACGATGATGTATCGTACGTATCTGCGAGCGACAAGGAAACTGTCGATACCCAACCAACGTACTTCCATTCGAACCTATTTGCGTGCACGAATTCGTCCACCGAATTTTTGCCTCGTGGAAATAGCCGACGTTTCACGTGAATGACGCACAGGGCCATTGAAGGGAACCATGTGGGATGGTTTCTCGTGAACGACCTACGAGATCCTATCGTCGCGCGAAACGTCTCGACGTGCCTCGAGTCGACTCGATTTTGTTTCGGCAAGGACACGGAGGACGCGAAAGTTTCACACGCCTGCGTACGTCCGCAAGATGCTGAGAGAAAGAGAGAGAGAGTGACCAAAGATAGAGCTCACGGCCTACTTTTTCCGCGGGTTTCTCGAGTCCTCTCGAGGCCTTCTCGCTTAAAGAGATAAGATGCGAAACTTTTGATCGAGCTGTGCCCGTTTCCTCGGAAAGACGGGCCAAAGTACACACACACACACACATATATACAGAAAATCGACGACTCGGTGCGACTTGAAATCACCTTTCAGCTCCTCGCTTCTTCACCTTTCGCGAAGACGATCGATCGATGTGTATATAATTGCCCTGCTCGCTTTTTCCAGGTAGCGAGGCCTTCAATCGCGCGATGCTCATGAACGTGGGATACGTGGAGGCCTTGAAGGAACGACCTTTCGACTGTTTCATTTTTCACGACGTCGACCTACTTCCTGAAGACGATAGGAATCTGTACACGTGCCCGGAGCAGCCGCGGCACATGTCCGTCGCGGTGGACAAGTTCAAATACAGGTAACGGCGCCAGCCGTTCGTGTGTCGAATCAGATACACGACGAATAAAGTTTTTCACCTATTTTATTTCACCTAGCGTGCTTTCGTCACGCTTTGAAATCATCGTGTAATCTGCGCAGGCTACCGTACGCCGATCTCTTCGGCGGCGTGTCGGCCATGTCGCGCGAGCAGTTCCGCCTGGTGAACGGGTTCAGCAACGTGTTCTGGGGCTGGGGCGGCGAGGACGACGACATGGCGAATCGGATCAAGGCGCACGGCCTTCACATCTCCCGGTACCCGGCGAACGTGGCGCGATACAAGATGCTTACGCACAAGAAGGAGAAGGCCAATCCAAAGAGGTGAGCTGCACGAGATGACTCGACATGATCGATGTCTGATCGATTCCCGTCTGATCCGGGCTGATCATATCGTGATTTCGCGCAGGTACGAGTATCTGAAAACGGGCAAGAAGAGATTCTCCACGGACGGGCTGACCAATCTCCAGTACGAGCTGGTCGACGTACAGAGGCCAAAGTTGTACACGTGGCTGTTGGTGAAGCTGACGCCCCCGCAGCCTAGCTGATGGCTGTCTTGGATCGGATAGCGACCGGATCTGCTCGAGATCGCTTGAGAACGACGCGAATATTTTGTGTTTACAAAGCGGAGTAAAACTCGCGTTCTCGGCGAGAAAATGAATCTCTCGAAGCGAGAGAAAAGGCGGAAAGAAGCGAGGAAAACTGAAAAAAGAAAAAACACTTTCTGACCAGGTTCCGGGAACCTGAAGTATCGAGAGAGAAAGAGAGAGAGAGAGAATGTGTGTGTATGTGTGTGTGAGAGAGAGAGATTGATGTTTCAGTCAGTTTAGAATACCAGCGAGTTGTTCCTTCCGCGATTTCGTCGCCGACGACAACAACGGGAGGAACGTTGTTACGTGATATATTTTTATTCCTCGTATTTTTTTATCACAACGGTAGATTAAAGACCACGTAGAATGTAGCGTACGAGCTAACGTGCCAAAGGAGAGTGAGAATATACGCGTGTATGTGTGTGCGTGCGAGAGAGAGAAAGAGAGAGAGAGAAACGAGAAAGATAGCGAGAAAAGCGCGTAGAGAGAAACAGGAGAGGCAGCTCCGCCATTCTTTCCGGACTCTATCTGCTATCACAGTTATGTAATACATATTACATACATACATATATATATATGTATATGTATATAATATGTACTATATATATAATACATATTACATATATATGTACACTTACGTTATCGGTCTATAGGCGTATGCGAGTACATTCGCACGAGCCGTAGGAAGCTTGAGATGGTTTCCTCGGTCGCGTTACGATACGAAACGGCGGCAGTCAGAGTTTCCGGTCGACCGCCGGGTATCTAGGACAGCTTTGTAACCGACCTTTCAGCCAGTGTCGTAGTTGGCTTCTTTCGAGTTACCACGAACAGATTTGCACTAGTTCCTCTGTTAAGCAGGACAAATACGACTCTTCCTTCATTTTGTTCTCAACGTTTTCTTTTTTTTCTTTTTTTTTTCTTTTTTTTTTTTTTTT